AATTATAGAAAAAACTATTTCGTGAGATCAAACAAATTATGTACAAATTGTTTGTCACATGCGCATACATATAAAAATTGCAAAAGCAAATTCAACTATGCTTGAGAGGGCACAAACTACAATCTTGCGAGAAATTAAAAAAATTAATAATTATAGAAAAAACTATTTCGTGAGATCAAACAAATTATGTACAAATTGTTTGTCACATGCGCATACATATAAAAATTGCAAAAGCAAATTCAATTGCTTATATTGACACAAAAGACACCACTCAATGCTTCATTACAGCAAATTTCCCATGTCACCCCAAAGAAGCGCTTATACAAAAAGAACCACAGGTTTAGTGGTAACAACAACTCCCAAAAACCGAAATCCCGAAAATTGCCAAGAAGCACCATGCTGCTCAAAGGCATTAAAAACTCAAACGCTACACAGCGAAAACCAAAGTAGAGTACTACTACCCACAGCAGTTGTCTCCATTGAACACCGAGGAGAACTGTTTAAACTTAGGGCCTTAATAGACCAAGGATCACAATGATCTTTCATAGCGTCTAGGGCACAAAATAGGCTACAACTGCCAACAAAACAAGCCAACTTTGAAATTACAGGAATGGGCGGTAGAGTAGTTCAAAAGTCTAATAAAATCTGCCCCATTACCCTTATTTCTCCCCAAGCGGATAAGAGAATTAAAGCAGAAGCTATAGTCTTACCGCAGCTAAAAAACATGCTTCCAAGCTATCATACAAATAGCAAGCATTGGCAAAAGGTTTCACACCTGAAGCTAGCAGATCCCAACTGCAACACCCCCGCTCAAATAGACATTCTCTCATAACGACTCCAGAAGATCAGTATTGTGAAGACTTCTACAAAGCCAAAACTACTCGATCAAATAAGGGCCGGTACGTCATACAACTACCACTAAAGACACAATTTTCCAACACTCCACATAATGGTACAAAAAACAATGTCAGTGTTTCCTCTGCCAATGTTCAAAACACCAATATATGTAATCCAAACATATCACCCAAATAATATATTTAAAAAGTATTCCAAAAGATAATTTTTTGTACACCTATTTCCTTAAATTTAAAAAGGACAGTACAAGAAAAACACAGAGGATCCAATGAATCTGTCTAGTTTTAATATCCTACTGATTCAATATCTGCATTATCCCCAATAACAAAGAGGAAACTTTTATCCTCTGTGGCAAAACTTCGACCACGCAGGATGGTTTTCGCCAATAATGATAAAAGTGCTGATTAAAAAATTATGGCTAGACGGAACCAACTGGGACGAACAAGCGAAACATATTCGCCTAGAAAACTGATCCCAATTTACACACAATTTTACTGCAATTTCGCAGTTAAAAATACCATATTGGGCGAACTATTCCCAAATTACCAACGAAACCCAGATTGCTTCGGCGACGCCTCATATAATTCATACTGCGCACCAATTCAAATTGAGCTATGTGGTAGTGCCAAATAAGTATACACAGTGTACACGCATTTCAGCATGGCAAAATATAAATTATCTCGATACTCCGACTACGAAATTATTCTAGCCTGATTGGAAAAAACACTCTATGCTTAGAAAACATGTATCCAATTCCCCCGAGCACTCAGAATAGTTACCCACATTCTCAAATACAATTCAACAATAGAGTTTAGGGATTACCATACTCCCAATGCGATACAGTGCCTCATCTTACAAAAAGCAAAGGTCGCACTTATCCCATCTATCTAAGCGCTCATCATATGGGTAGTTTATGGGAAACACTTTTAAAAGTTGCAAATCTCACTCTCGCAAGATCCCTCTTCAAATGTTTTCAAAGGAGCACCCATTCTGGACATATCTGAGCCAGGCGTGGAGTCGCTATCCTTACTAAGTCATAACAAATAAATGGTAAATAACCACCAATTAAAATAATAAACACAAAAACGCATATACCTTTACTATAATAACCAGTCATCAAAATAGTAAATCAATAAACACGCAAAATAAAGTTGCTTACATCGCGCATCAATACCTATGGTAGATCAAAATCCATGTCGAAATAATGTCAACATTTACCGTCAATATGTGTAATACTAGGCAAAATATTCGTCTAGGGGGCCCAGGATGTTTAAATGAGCTAAGCCTCAGTACCACCACTCTCTCCAGTAACAACTGGCGCACCCTAATGCAACACACCACACAGGAAAACACAACACATCATAACACGGCACCTGTACACCTAAAAAAAGGACGGGATCATCGTCCTCACATCTTCATTCGCTTATCGTCCACGGGGCTGAGCGCCACATCATAACATTCGCAAAATTAACATTTAACCAAAGAAAAAAATACATTTTGTTCGGGAGTTCATGCGATTCAAAGTGAGGTGTTTAGAGGTCCTTATCTCGGTGGGGTTCCCCAGTATTAGATACAAATTAAACAATGCGTATCAAGCAAAAATGATTGTATCGGGGTAAAACTGTGCGTGAATAATGCGTTTGAAGTATGCAACCTTGTGACCATAAAGAAATCTAAAACGAGTATACCATTTGACTTTGCGAGAGTATAAAATGTTCGGTTACATCCAAACGTAGCCGTTCCTTACTTGTTATTATATAAAAAATAACAAAATAATAAATATTTTGTAATTAATATAAAAGAAATACTAGCTGTTAAGGCTGATCAAGAATAAGGAATATTATTTTTGTGTACTTACGTATCATAAGAGTTCCTATCAATTTTTATAGATGTGGGGTCCTTTTTTTGTGTTCCAAATATTTTTAGTACATTTTCAAACCAGTCGTCTGAGGATATATCCATAGACTCTAACTCTTTTGTTGCAAAAGTAAGATTAGTAAAGCCATTCCAAAGTTGAGATTGTACCCGCAGTGATGACAGTTTAACTAATGCTGCCCCTTTAAGTGAAGGCGCGCGCTTTAAATAAGCCTTAAGTGATTTAAATATTACATCGGTCTAGAATATAAAAAATCAATAAATAAAATGGTAAATGCAAGTATATAATGAAAATAGTTGATTACTATATTATACCCTTTTTATAGCGTTTTTAATATCTTTTGTAGAATGGTGAGCCACAAAAATTGCGGAGGTTACATCGGGAAGAGCCCACATTGTAGCACGTGTACATATTATTGGATTGGGATTATCTGGTGGCAATATTCCAAGAGTAAAAAGAATGAGCATCGAATTATGTACAACGCGTGTAGAATATTTTACAAGCAATTCTTCAATTGCTTTTATATAATCTGGACTTCTAACCACGATAGGGTTATTCCATTTATATGGCACTAAATCGGTCCAGTTAAGCTAGAATTGTAAAAGCATTTAATACATTTATTACAAGATAAATTATGATAATAAAAAGTAGAAAAAGCTTACATATGTATTTGCTTACGTATTAGAATTACTCAAAACTAAAAATGAGCATAATAATTATGTATACAGCTTGTGAATTATACACTCGAATTCTTTTGGTTATATTTATAGCGGAAGTTAGTTTCAATGTGGCTGAATCCGTAAATGCATATTACAAAGTGAATAAATTATACACTCTCACAAATTATTGTAAACAAAACGAGCGTGTTATTAGTATACATAAGCTTAATAAATTTTTATTTATTACTGCTTAGGTTTAAATTAATTATATAATAATCATAATGTTTTAGTTGTCGCAAAAACGAATAAAGGCAGCAAGCAGGAACCGTGTTGACGACGTATATAATCGAATGGGTTGTTTACGCGGCGCAGTGTTCTAACGAATGTTGAGCTGCGCGCAGGATCGCTATTATTTCGACTGAGGTGTAGAAGCGATGATCCAATCCTTTTTGTTGGTTGGTGGTGTGAGGCGCCTCGTGTGTGGTGATATTCAGCGTGTGGTGTCATCCTGTATGGGGTTCTCAGGAGTGGTGTGTATTATTAGGGTGTGCCAATAATGTACCTGTTTGGTTGGTGTATACATATATGCGAGGGGGAGGCTTAGCTCATTTAACCACAAAGCATTAACTGCGAATTGCGAACCGACGCAAAACAAAAATGTATGGCATCGCTGCTTTATAAACATATGCAATAAATGTTACTGGTTTTTGTGAACGCAGCTATGCAAAGCATCACTTTGATAATTGTGAAAGTTTGAATAATGATAACGAGCGCAATCTTAAAAAAATTGTTTATAAACACGATAGAATTGGCTAAACCAACTTCAAACAATATTAGCAGCATTAAAAATTATGTGTACGAGATACCAATTATAGCAGAATCATTATAAAATCAAAAAACTTTTGTTAATCTTATATAATAATATATCTAATTGATGGAGGATGATATTTTTCACTCCCATTTTCGAATGTGGTGAAATACTTTTAAGGTAATTAAGCAATTTATTTAGGCATACTGGATGATAACGAATATAGGTAGTAACTTAAAGAAGCTATAAATCAATCAGGACAGAGACGAGAAGCTGAGTCTAAAGAGGCCTCTTGAGACGATTCCAGAGCGGATTTATTACCATGCCCGCTGGGAACGATCAAATGGGAGCTTTATATGCATTTTGTACAAATAGCTCAAAGCAGATGGAAATCAATAACAAGCTGCAATATAACAAAGCACATTTGGCCCAAGTATGACAAGAGTAGAACCAAGGACTTATTAAATAGGTCAAGAAATAGTATATACAGACTTACAGCCACTATAACCGGGCACTGGCCGTTTGGAGAGCATGCGCTAAAAATGGGCCTGCCGTACAACAACATTTGCCGTAGCTGCAAGCTAGAAGGGAATAAGGAAACGATTTTCCACTTTCTCTGTGAAAGGCCAGGTTTTATCTTAAACACGACACAAAACACTTGGAACCCATCAAGCACCAAATCTTGAACGGTTGTCCCAAAAATAATAATGGGCATAAGTAGTTTCATTGAGCACCAAATGGTTTGAGCAAAACGATGGAACGGAATAACAAGATTATGATGTTTTACGATAATGTATCAAAATGGCGCATTTAGCACTAATTGAGCCCATGTGGGCAGCACTTCTACCAACCTACCTATCAATTGAAGATTCCGTCATGTCTTACGGCATTTGGATACAACTCCTACTGCCAAAAACTTCATTCCCCTGAGATATAATTTCGTTTTTTGATCCGTTCAAACATAGTCATTATATTCTTAAAAGAGCGGAAAAGAAATATATATCAGCCCTATTTATTTAGCATAGAGCGCTTTCAATCAAGACCGGTATTTAGAAGACAAGTTTATCTAGAAAACATTGTGTTTCCGACCTGAAACCTAGAAAAATATGCGACCCTTGCGACAAATGTAGTGAGTGTCGCTATAATTAGTTTCACCAAATATTCGATGAGTTTAAAAATTTTTGGACGCAAAACAGAAATCTCTCGCATATGCTTTTATTTATAATATCAGTGTTTCTTACTACAGCCAAAACTGGTAGTTTGATTATCTGACAGAAATCATGATTGCACGCATCTAAACTGCAGTGGCATACTCGTACACACATTTAGATCGGGAACCACTCAGTTCGAATCAGAGAGGAATCATAATGTCGCGATATTCTGAGGTAGTTTTTCGATGCTTCTCCATTATATTCATATCCACCATCTTTTTTATTAACGAACGTATTTAATTATCTCTAACGATATTTAAGTGTAAGATAAAAGTATCTAATACCATAAGGTGTAGGCAAAACTTTGTATTAAAAGATGAAGAATCCGCATGGATTACAATCAAATTTGATATCTTATTAACTTTCCGCATACGAGGTGACTAATCTCACCATGCTGATACCCTAATTATAAAAGATAGTAAAATCCGCAAAATTGTTATTATGATTGTTAAATAATAATAAATATACATGGTATATATCTTATAAAAAATTGGTTTGAGTAAAAAAATTTTTTCTTCAAACCTTTTCTTCAAACTATAAACTATTAAATCGTTTCATGAGTACTAAAATCAAATGGTACACATTACAACCACATTCTTCTCAATTTATAAAACTACAGTTTATCTAGTTTTAAACATTACAACAAGCAATAATAAAATCAGATCTTAATCACTTCAGTTTCCGCAGTCTTGACAATATAAATCTGCGTGTTCCATAGGCTTATTACATTTTTTACAAATGTGCCTAGTCTTCCTATCTTTTTGTCTAGGGCAAAGTAAACAATTTGCATTATTTTAAATCTTTTTGCCGGTGCTTCTTGTCAGTTTTCAAGCGTTACTTGAAAACACCTTCCAATTTCTGGGCACGGTTTCTTAAAAAGTCTTTGGTTCTGCCTTCTTTTTTCTAGGTGTGGTCTTACTAATGTACCTAGTCTTCCTATCTTTTTGTCTATTAGTCGGCACAAATCCCACGCTAACCCTTCCCGAGGATGCCTACTGGTAATATATACCAAAGTTTCCCGACGTAAGCAGGGACGGGCTGGAAGTTCGCATTGTTTTAGCAATGAGGTATCTAGCTAAGGTCAGACTTCCTACTTGGGTGTTCGTTGCTCCTCAATAGCACAGAATTCAGATGGGGAGTCTTACTATGGTTGGGGGTACCGAGGATGGCACGTTCCACAATAAGATAGCCTTTCTTGCCTAGCGGGGGTTATACGCTCGCAGACATATTTTTTCTACACTTTTGGGTCCAAATATGAGCTAAATCAAAAAAATAAAATGCAAATTTAAAGGAGCTAGTAGTTGCCAGAAGAGAGCAGCGTTCGTTCGAGCTCGAGAGTAGCCAGCGTGTGGACAGAAGCGAATCTTGGTCCTGGCGATAAGGCAAGCACTGGCAAAGTGGCAGAAGTTAAGCCGGATTCCAGAAAAGAAACCGCACCTGAGGCAGCCAGTACCAAACCCTTTAGGCAAAGCTTGGCTGCCAAGAAGGCGGAGGAGGGAGATGACTAACGTGTTGCTGCTACTAGTGCGTCAACCAGAGAATGGCCGGTTTTTAAAATCGAAGACCCAGCGAAGGCGAGGTATGCGGAGAAGCAACGTGCTGCATACCTGCTGAGAAAAGTAGAAGGAGGAGCTCAAAAAATCTATTCACTGCGCCAGAGCAGTTCTACCTAATTTTAAACAGGAACCGCCAGTAGTGGCAGCCAAGAGACAAAGATCAGCTGAAGAGGCTAAGCCACCGGTCAAGAGACTGAAGACCTGGAGCGTGACGCCCGCAAAATCAATTGCTGAGGTGGCCCAGAACCGCATTTTCATTGATGTGCTAGATGGAGGAGATTCAGAAGGAAAAATCCCCAGAGCACAATGGAAATGGGTACAAGTCCCACTGACTAACGGGGCACTGGAAGTGCTATTAAGCAATCCAAGTCCATCCTCGTTGTGTACGGATGCCGGATGGTATCAGGGCCAAATTAAGATGATAGCTTTTGACGCCAAGAGATCGGTCCAGCCCGTAAGCCGGTCTATTAGCGGTAGACAAGAGGGATATCATGACAAAGGGCTAGGGTATGGATCCCGGCTACACCATAATGCAGCTCATAAGAGCCAGCAGCCCGACCAAATGGGAAATGGAAATTTGTCAATGCCCTCGAAGACCCCACAGCGGAATCTGGAGTGCAGATGAAATGAATTACAATGAAGATTCTGTTGTTGTTAACAAGAGAATCCGTAAAGCCGCTGGCGAAAAGTGGCGGGAAAATCAGCTACGGAATCACAAAAGTTAAGGTCAGGACCTATAAGCTGGATGTCGATGCAGTGGACAACTTGGCATCGGAAACGGAATGTGAAGACGAGGAAGATCCAATGGAGTCCTCGAGTGACGTGGAAAATACTGAGCAAGGTTAGTGTACTTCGGAGTCTGAGCTTGCATACAGACTCTCTAAAGTATACACTGAGAGTGAGCTTTTGAGCGACTCTCGAGAAGACAGTAATTAATGTGTATTCTTCAAATTAATCTCCACCACAGCAAACTAGCTTCTGTAGCCCAAGTAACCGCATGGCAGTATAATAGTCTGACTTCGTCCTCATTCAGGAGCCACCGGGTTATAATTTATACATGGCATAATAAAAAGCTTAATGCCTTCTTATTACAAAGCTTTAGTAATCAGGTCACCACAGCAGTAAGATGGGAGACGGAGACAGCAGCAAATCCCGGTTGGTATTAGGCTACATGCCGTATAAAGAAGTAGAGGTACCATCGCAGCTGTGGAAAGAGCTAGTATGAGACAGTGAAGCATCCAGGAGCTTGACCATATTTGAATGTGACTCAAAATATAAACCACACGTAATAGGGCAGCACGGATATCAACGAAAGAGTTGAGTTACTCTTTAACTACCTACTAGGTACTGGAATGT